GTTCAAATACCTCAGTACCTCAGTCTGGAATTCCGGTTTCAGCAAGTCATATCCTAGTGTCAAATCAAATGCGGCACCCTTGATCAGTCCAACCTTTTCAGCCTGTTTCCCAAATCTTTCGGGGTTATACACTTCAGCCACAGTTTTCATGCTGTTCCGATCCCTACCCAAGAGACTGCCATATTTGTACATTGCCTTGCGGTTCGTAACCCTAGTCTGATCCTTTGGATCCGCAGCAGCTGTCCAAAAGTTTTGCCAACCCCGCTCTTCGAGTTGGCTAGGTTCTGTACAGATCAAGTTCATAAGTTCCTTCCATACTTCTTCAGCACTAGAGAGAGCGGCTCTTGCTTGGCAAGTGACTCGGTTCAGTCTCTTGATCTTCCTTCCACTCGTTGGTTTGGACAGATGGCGGAACTCTTCCTCCGTCAGACCTACTTCTTCGAAGATTTGGACCCTGCCGACTGACCCTTCTGCCAGCGGCGGAACTCCTGGAACTCTGCAAACTCCTCCAAGTCCTGGGTTGTCAGGGCTGGGCTCTTCGTGATCCGTTCGTTCTCGCTCTCGGACTTCTCCACCTTCTCCTTCAACAGAATCTTGCCGCAGTCCACGCAGGTCACCCGGCGTTCCTTGCCGTTGCTTCCCGATTTCCGGGTCTTCAGATGGGGACATGTAGGTGCCCTCGACGTGGAACTGGCCGTTGACGTAGTCCCGGGACTCCTTGGTGCCGATGCGCTCGCTGACCCCCTCGTCGGCGATCTCCACACTCCTCGTAGTTGATCGGGTTCTGGTTCTGTGGGCCACATCGGTTGATACAGCGTCCATGCAAAGTAAGGGCATTGATCCTGACGATCCTGCGGGCATCGCCAGAATGTCCGACCAAAGTTCGGACCCTGCTTCCTGGTCACGTACAACTTGGCTTGTTGTCGGTGTTGGCAATTCGGTGGAACCCCCATCATCATGTAGTCGTCCTCCGTCAAGTAGTTGTTGGCCTCCGACCTCTGGCTCGGTGCAGGTGATCCCGGGGATGGTGTCACCGATGAGAACCTCTGGGATAGGTGCTCCGCCTCCTCGTCGATCACCTGGAAGCTGCCCACGCTCTCCACGTCGGAAAACCCCCCCTCCGGAATCTTGGAGAGGGGCCACACTGAGAATGGTGCCTTGCGAGGCTTGGGGAACACGAGGTTGATGGTCAGACTGGTCACCTGTGCCATCACCAGGAAGATCTTGAGGATCAATCGGCGCCACGCCTGCATCGGTTCGTGAGCCTCGTTGTCGGTCACCCGGGCCCTCTTGGGGTTGCTGCGAGACTCCATGGCTGGGACTATGCGGTTCACGCTGATCACAAGGGTCCGGGCAGTCAGGTCCAGGTTCGCTTGGGCCAGAGTTCTCTCCGGTCTCGACGGTCGTTTTGAGGACCTCAAATTCTTGATGATGTGCCTTCAACTGTTCCTGAGCCTGCATGACACATGACAAGTTTTCCTGAGTGAACTGTGACAAAGGAACCCTTAATGCCCCAGTGGGCCCCAAATGACACCTTACAGTGAACCCGAACTTCTTAAAATGAATCCGAAGACCTTTGCTGGGGTCAAGATGCAACACGGCCTGACAGTGCAATAAAAAAGGAAGGGAAATCAAAAATGGAGCAGTACGAGATTCCTTACCTTCGAACACTGCTGGTCTCAGAAGGCTTCCACGATTACCCAAACTGGTAGGGATCACGGCAACATAGTTTGTCTTAGAGGTTCCATGAACTGACCGAAAACGATGTTCTTGAGGAACTAGATGAGTTTGCAAACCCTCGGGCAAGGCATCGTTCATCTTCTGGAGGGTTTCCAAACCGATCGCCATACGTTGGCACCCTGTGTCAATGGTGGCGCACAGTTCGTCCTTTGGTGTTTCGGGGATTTCCTCATGGTTGCGATTATTACTCCAATAAATCTCATTAACAACTTCATTTCTCCGTTGACATTCCCCAACACAATCATCCAACCCAATAACAACGGGGTCACCAACAACACTACCAACATCACCAACTTCCCGGCGGCCCTTATAGGCTTGCTCAAAAATTGACTGTACGGATCCACTGTCAGTGTTCACACTGACCTGTACAGTCTCAAACTGGGTCGGATCAAAATGATCCTTGTCAAAAGATGCCGGGCTCTCAGGGCTGGAAGTTCTGGCGGTTGCCAAATGGCTCACATGTGATTCTCCAGGGTCTTCGAGAAGTCCACAGAAGATTGCTTCTTCCGACTCAAGCAGGTTCACCTCCTTGGTCTTGTTGACATTGCTGTTGGATCCCTGATTTTTGGGGCATTCAGGGTCCTTATGCCAATGGCCAATCTGATGGCACTTGGCACATCGGGACTTCGCCTTTGCTTCGCTCAAAGACATCCTGTAGAAACCTCCCTTGACATAGCCAGTCGTGGACATAGAGCTCTGAGATCTCGGTCCACCTTGGCCTCCACCACGCCATTGGCCATAGCCCCTCGCTAGGTTCTTTGCCTTCTTCGTCCGAAGGCTCTGCATGAACGTCTTCTTCTTCTGACTCAACATGGTGCTAAGCACCTCCTTTGCCTCGTGCTCGTCCATGATGTCGTCCTCCTCAGCGGTCTCGGTGTACACGGAGTGGTCGTCTCCATCTTGTCCAGGATGTAGTTCTCGCCAAAGTTCCTCCATGGCCAAGATCTCGTCCTCCTCGAACTCTTCCTCTTCCGTGCTCAAGTTCATGACTGAGCTGGCTTTCGAAGCTGTCAGTGCCTTGCTCTTGTCGGCACCTACATCTTTTGCAAGAAGTTTCATCTCGTGCTTCCTGCACCAACTCTTCACATCTCGAACCAAGATGGACCCCTGTGTGAAGGCCATCATAGATTTGATCTCGTTGTCGGAGATGTTGAGCGCGTTGATCAGCAAGAAGCCCAGGTACTTCTCCGGCAAGTTGACATGGTGCTCCTGGATCTTCCTGACCGCGTCGTCGAACTTGGTGAAGAAGGTCCTGCAACCCTCGTCCTTCTGGCGCCTCAGGTGGTATGTTAACCGAGCTAGCGAAGACAAAAGTTCTTCTTCTCGATCTTCTCCAAACAGCTCCGGAGTATCCATCACCTCCAGCAGCTTGTACCCATTTTTCTCATCCTTCAACCATGACTGGTCCTTGGCATAGTGCTTCAGCGACTGAAAGGGCTGGCCTGACAACTTCTGGAGAATCATCGGGCCTTGGGAGCGAGGCTTCACCCTCGTTGTCGCTAGCCACAACCGTGCCTTTATCAACCAGTCTTGGAACGTAGTTGAAAGGCCGTCCCACTCAGGTGGTGGCTGACCTCCACCAGATCCCCGACCATTCCCTGTCGGGCTCCGGTCACCATCACTCGCATCCTCTGGCTCCTGCCGTCGTGACCGTCGTCCTCGATCACCTTCAGAGCCATAGTAACTAGACCGGCGAGCTCGCCGCTGCTGCAGCCACTCGCGAAACTCCTCAGAGTCAAACTCGTCCTCCTGAACACGAGCTTCACCGGCAGCTCGACCAGGAGGTGCATCATCGTCACCACCACCTTCCCCGTCAAGGGAACCATGTGAAGACGGCAACGTCGCCATCACCTACAACCTACAAGGTCCACAGGAGCTTGGAGCTCCGCCTACCACTGTAAACGAACCCACGGTGCGCGCATCTTTTTGGCGCAATCCCAAGGCCCACATTGAGCCGTCATGTACTGCAGTGGAACACATCCACAAATGACCTGAAGCCAGGCCAGTCACCAGCAATTCACAACTACATATTATTATATGATGATTATTATTATTATTATGGAATATGGATTAAATTGGTATAGATTGATTACATAGATGTGATTGTAATTAGTATTGATCGATACGTTTTTTTTGTTTGTCATCAGTACATCTGGCGATTTGAGTATGGAGACTGAAAGGTTGCCTCTTTTCTTCCAACAGACGTAGTCCCAGAATTTCTAGACCACAAATAGGTTGCTATCTAATCTAAACACCAACATTTTCACAGTACAACTCCGCCAACCAACAGTGCAAGCGAGTTCCAGGTTCGACATCGGGTGCAAGCTGAGTTCTGGTCCGGCACAATGTGAGCCACAGATTTTGCCACAGTCAGAAAATACACGTGTTTAAAAAAGGACCTCCCAAGGTTTTGTTGCTTGCACTGCAGCAGTGTTTTTTTGGATCAAAGTATCTTAAAGTGCTGAGATTATATATAATTATATATATACTGTATTACTGTATGTAATTATATATGATGTGACGCACCCAAGTATAAAGTTTAGGTGTTCTTTTCAGCGGGATCCGTGGGGACACCATTGACTTGCGCCATGATGGCTTCAATTTCAACCACGCTCGCTTTTGACAGGTTCAGGAAACGGCCACAGGAATGACCACATATTTCAGGGAACTTGCTATGTTTTTTCTTTCAGGTTCATCTTTTGGTTTTGGAAAAACACACGTATCAATACATCTTCACTTTTCTGACTTGAGCAAGTCGAAGTTTGACTATGGCTCATGTTGACTGTAATCTCTATGATGCCAGCCCAGTCCAGTGTGGCAGAAAAGAGGCACCATGGGAAGCATCCGCCAGCTTTGTGATGGATCATGGATCATAAGACCCGAAAAAAAACACTTCAACCGCCAGATGATATCAGCACCTCTATTCATCTCTATTCATGGAAAAATGAGGGTTGAACGCCGCTTCAGTATGACTTTTGGTTGATGTATATACCAAGTTTTTTTTGGTGCCTTTGAAGGCTAAAAGTATCCTTCCCACCTAGGCCAGGGATAGTTTTTCAGTCTGCATTTCAGGACCACGGCCAGGTGAGGATTGCTTTCTGATCCTTCAAATTGTACTGATGATACAGTACTCTAAGATGACCCAAATGTTTTTTTTGCATGTTAAAAAACTTCAGAAACCACTCATTCATGTTATGTTCCCTTTTCCAGGTGGTCTTAGTGCGTCCCATTGCTTCTGTTGTGAATGTCGGCCCAGGCTACATCTGAACTTGGGCTCAGACTGAGTCTGAAGTCTGAGTTTTGGTGCCTCGGCTCTTCATCCAAGTCCTGGTTTTCAATTTTTGTTTGCCCTCCAACGGTTGTAAAGCAATACGTAGTAAACCATTTCTAATCCTCATGTTCAATTTTTATGAGCGGTTTTGCAACAAAATCAACATGTTGCTGTTTTTTCTCATTGCTTTACTATGCTTTACTATATACCACATATTCATATTACCGCATATACCATTACTCTGAGCCAGGTCTAAGTCTCTCTGCGTAGATCGACCAAGATGCAGGTGGATAGTGAGAGAGAGAGAGAGATACCGCCAGTCTGGTGCGAAGCAGTTTCTCTGGAATTTCATATTGAGCCAGAAACAGATTAGGAAGCTTAATGAAGGTTATGTCAATTTTGTATCCAACATATTTGGCAAGCTTTACTTCATCTCTTATTTTTTCACCACATGTTTTCCGGCTTCTGTTTTTGGGACATGTTGCGACACCATGAAACTTTTGTTTTTGTTAACGCAGCCTAGGTATTCTTTGGCGTTTAGTCAGGAACTGAGGATCTCTGGTGGTTTTCAACGGCTGAAACCGGTGCCGAGATGTGCCATCCAGTTGGCTTTTCTGTAGGGCCAGTTTTTTGGATACGAAAAAACGGTATATAACTTGAATATTTGCCAACAAGCATGGGGATGGCTGTCACTGACATGATGGCGAACAGTGGATGTGTCAAAACTGCAGGTCCTGGTACTACCTGATGAATCTCAAGTAGAAAGGGCATTCTTGGTATCCATCCGTCGGATTTCCACATGAAGGAGTTCCGTCCTCACCCAAACACTGAACATCTGAGCGTATGGCATAGCTCCATCCAAACAAGTATATCATCTTATATAAACATGTATATATATATATAACTATAACTATTGGTCCAGAGTTGGCGCACGACACCGTGCCGACCAAGGTGACGACCGTTCCAACCGGTCGTAGCGCTAGCGCCACTGTAGGATAGGAGTCTACTCGCAGCTGATGGGCAACTGCAAGTGACTTGGCACGGAGAATGGCAGACTCACCGGTTGAGCCATGAAAGTTAGTGGCGCCTGGTTGATTGGTTGAACAACTAGGGACTTCTACTGGCTAATTTATTGGACATGTGATATATATATATATATATAACCCATAGACATAAAGCTGCACATATGATCCACGCCACCTGACCCTGACAGAATTCCAATGGATGATCACATTAAAAAAAGCACCATTTTCCCCAATTGTGGATTGCATCTGATCATTCACCATTATTCACCATTATTCAGCATTATTCACCATTATTCACCATTATTAACCAGTATTCATCACATTCAACCATTATTCACCATTATTCACCATTATTCACCATTATTCACCATTATGAACCATTATGAACCATTATGAACCATTATTCACCATTATTCACCATTATTAACCATTATTCACCATTATTCACCATTATTCACCATTATGAACCATTATGAACCATTATGAACCATTATTCACCATTATTCACCATTATTAACCAGTGTTCATCACATTCAACCATTATTCACCATTATTCACCATCATTAACCATTATTCACCATTATTAACCATTATTTACCGTTTTTAACCATTATTCACCATTATTCACCATTATTCATTATTATTCACCATTATTCATTATTATTCACCATTATTCACCATTATTAACCATTATTCACCATTATTCACCATTATTCACCATTATTCACCATTATTCACCATTATTCACCATTATTCACCATTATTCACCATTATTAGCCATTATTAACCATTATTCACCATTATTCACCATTATTCACCATTATTCACCATTACTCACCATTATTCACCATTATTCACCATTATTCACCATTATTCACCATTATTCATCACTATTAACCAGACACACCCAATGTGGCTGTCGATTAAACCACCAGAATTGGAGTTGCAAAGCTGGGCTAATGGAAAACACAAGGCACCAGTCTACTGGATCCTCTGCTCTTTTGGGGAATCCTATGCACACCACTCATTTACATGCACATACATTGATAAATTGATACAATGCTATACAATATCATATGATACCTCTACATATTACAAACAATAATAAAAATAATTAATAATAATAAATAATAATACTAATATACTGTATATATATATATATATATATACATGTTTGTCTGTATGCAGTATACAGAAATGGTGTATACATGGAAATTGTTCTTACGGTCGAATGATCAAACCTGAACCCCACGGTAACCAGTTCTAAACGTGACATGGAACAAGTGGAACCCATTGGAACCCCTGAAAGAAAACACTGTGGATCCAATATCAAATTATTTTACCTACAACTACAATAGTGGAACCAACGGAAACTTTGAACCCAAGTGTCCTTTTCTCCTGAAAAAACGGCTACAAGACAAATGGTTCCAGCCCGTGACACCGTGTTCTAAGTTCTACCTTTGACGTGGATTCGACAGGACCGCTTGATGCTTTTTGACTGGAAAGTCGAACCCCCGAACCGAACAACAAGAGCTAGGGAAATTCATACTTTGTTACGATACGAAAAAAACAGAAAATCAGATTTAGTCAGTACACACATATCAACCCAGATCTTAGGCATTTTTGGAGGCGACTAGGGAGAATCAACAAAAATCATGCTGAGGGATGGATCAACGCGGCCCAAAAAGCCAGGAGCGTTGAAATTCAGCGCCAGCGGGAACGAAATCCACGTGCTTGGCTCTGATACCACCAGGCTGGGTCCAAAACGGGGATACCACTGAATTTCATGTGGGTAAAACGATGTTATAAACCACCGATGACTGGGAATGGTAAACATACCACCCATAAAAATGGTGATGACTGGATGATTTGGGGGATGGTTTATGGCATTTTATGGCATTGTTTTACCCACATTATAAGTTTGTGGATTGGGATATCAATCCCCATATGGAAGTTTTTAGGGGAGAATCGCCTATCGCCGCATTTGATTGCCGGAGGGTATGTGTTTTTTTCTTCATATTTTACCATGAATGAATTTATGGTGAGTAAAATAGACCTATCCCCACACGGCTTTGCGTGGTGCGAACCGAGTTGGTGCTTCGAAGTCATGGATGTCCAGTCTTGAGGCACCAACTTCTCTGAGTCATTTGCCTAGTACTAGTGGTTCCAGGATATCTGTGATTTCCCATGATTTCCCCAGTTTTGATGAAGCAGCTATCTACATCAAAAATAGCAAAGAAGCGTGTTGATCGTTTCGTACTTGGCAAATGCTGGTCAAACTCCCAACCCAAACTTGTAAACGTCAGCAGGTTTGCTGATTAAATTCCCATTCGCTGGATTGTTTCAGAGTTTGAATATGTCTTTATTTCCATCCACCGGAATTGTCATTGTGATCTCAATGATGTTCATATGTTATTGGGGTTAGCTCATCCATCAGCCACACTTATATAGAAGCCGGCACCCCCAGTAATGATCTTGGAATGCATTTATACTATATATTTTTATACAATTTTATACACATATCTATATTGATTGGTTGAACTTCCACTTGTTGCCAGTGAAATCATACGAAATCACATGTTTCCTGGTTGACGCCTTGGTTTTCCTGCAAAAATCCCCCAATCAATCTTGCTGCTCAGACTGCTCAGATCACTTAAATCCCGCCAAAATCTCCCCTGGTTTTTCTCTCCCAGACTTTTTCTTTGTTTTTTTTTGGTTACATGTGCAGTTGAACCCCCCCATTTATGGAACAAAGCGGCCGGTGCAGTGCCAGATGGTGAAACGTCCCGGCCAGGCCCACCTCTCTGGAGGACACTCCTCCGCCCAACAGCTTCCTTGCGGCCGGTGTCGAGCTGGACGACCAGGCAGATCGCGGCTGCGGCAGCTGATTGTTTGTCCACACTGGTGGGTTACGGTGGGTTGGCTAGTGAATGGTGATTTAACATGGTATAACCCACAAAAATGGTGATTTTACATGATTTTAACCACTAAAAACTAGGGATTCGTCGTTTTTTTTCCCCAAGGGTTTCTCAGCATCAATTTCGCTTGGTGCAAGGATGTGCAAGGTGAGGTCCCCGTAGTGACAGTCAAGTTGATAGGTTTATGGACCAACTTATGGGGCCCCGAGCTACTTGGTTCTATGGACATTTTAGCACCACATATAGGTTTTAAGAATATCAAACCATATCAAAACTATGGGAACTATATATATATACATACAATTGATAAATGATGGTTGATAGCTATAATTGGGGATTATACTCCCCTTTTCTATGAACTGGGGATTGTCATCATCATCATCATCCGTGAACTGGGAATCCGGTGAATTAGAAGAGGCCATGTGCAGGATTAATTAAATGGAATCACATTTCGGATTTTGAACAATGCTCATTTGAAAAAAAGAGATCATTCGGTTATAATGGTTATAAGTGATTCAACATCCACTTTTGATATGTAAACAACACATTGGATTCACTTTGGTGAACATGTTAAATCCACAATATCGATTGGTGATTTAATCCTTTTTCCAAAGTGAATCATCCCCAACCCCTCAGTTATAAGTTGGTTTATAAGCCCATTATATATCTACCATAAGTCCTAGCTATTGCAGTCGTAAGTCCCAACTGATGATCTGAGTTTCCATCTGAGAGGGTCCCAAAGGACTGGGGGCGGCCCATTTTTGATGGTTAAACCATGTTAAACCCTCATTCTGGGTACTTAAACTCCAATTTTTTGGATGGTTCATTCTATACACATTGCATGGTTAGACTCACATTTTGTGATGGTTCATTCATGTTCATTCTATATATATATATAATTGTACATATATATATATAATTGTACATATATATATATAATCATATATATGGAGGTTTCTATAGTTATGGGGGTACCCCAAAAGCTGGAGTATGTTTTTTTCAGGGAAAATCCATGGCAGGAAGCGACACCGACCTTCGACGTGAAGGCCACTCTGGTGGTCTTCTCAGCGCCGGAGGGATCCAGGTGCCCAAAGGGTTGGTAAATGGTGATCTAACCATCAAACATGGGGATTTTAACCAAGACACATGGGAAATCATGGGAATTTATATGAATTTATAGTAGATTTGAGATGATTTAAGTCAATGACCTAGGCTGTTTATGAGTATACGTAGGTTAATTGGTATGGCAAATATGTCAAACTACCGCAATTGATGGGGCTACAAAGAAAGCTTCCAGGAAGAACCTTGCAGAATAGGATCTGAAACTCATGAGTGCATGTATGGAGATGTGTATAGTCTTCAGGCTGCAGGTATTCGAATAATCTGCATGAATCAGAATGAATATACATATATATATATAGATATATATATAGGTACTAATAATAATACTGTATATTGTATGAAACATCCGTTTGGATATGTTTGGATATTATTTCAAATTGATGTTCTCGTATAGTTCGACATCTCATATTCTCGTATTGTATACAATATTCACTTTGTGCACAATCTTTCTACACATCTGAATACACAATAGCTTAAGGTCATGAAGCAGATCTACATGACGTGAGGTGACTTGATGGGATCTTAGGTTGCAGCGCAGCAAGCCGCCCTCAAGATGCCTGCTGAGGCGTCAGTGCGGTGGGACCTGGGTTCCTGGGTTCGGAACATCTTAAGATGGGGTGAAGATCTTGTGGATTTCATTCCCTTTCATATTCATATAATATATATATATTATATATATACTGGTTGTTCATCAAAAATCCGCAATGGATCTGGTTGTTTTCCCCTGTTCCAACATCGAGTCTCTAAACTCAAAGCCCATTTGAGAAAAAAGAACACCTCTTCCAGATATTTTGGGATGGTTGTGGTTCAAATTCACCACAATTTTTTTGGTCCCCCACTTTTTGGGACCGCACCCTCTACGTGTAGCAGAAATTTTGGGGGCAGCTGGGGCGGTGTGAGGCAAAAGTCTTGTCGCAGATGGCAGGGGAGCTATGTTCCGCCGCTTGCGAAGGCATGCACGTTGGGCTGTTACGAACATGGTAATGGCAACTGACCACTTGGAAGGGAAAACCATCTACAAAAATAAATGGTCAATAGCAAATAATAGCAAGATGGTATTGTCTTGTCATGCCTTGTTATGATCACGTTCACAAGTTTCCATTTTTTGTCAGCCGAGTTCGTGATGCAACCTCATGTAGAAGTGATAGCAATCATTCGTTCTGAACGTCTAAAATCATCATTTCATTATATGTCGTGCGTTTCGAGTGACGTGTGCCCTTACCATCCTTTGCTCAGATGCTCCAATTATGTTTACTCCACATGAAACAGAAACTCACACACACAAATAAACCCATACTAGACATAACTAGGCAATGTATGGCAAATTTGGTATCAAGCTTCTGGACTTGAACATCATCCACTTCTGCGTAGCCTCATCGATTTTGTTCAACCAACTGGCCTTGCTTTTGAGAGAAACTCACAACACCTTTGGTGCTGGGTGACTCGATCATACTCGATCAACCTTGTCGACGAGAGTATTAGAATTGGCTGATTGTTTTCTTCTTCAGCATGATTCCGACAAGTTCCAAAATTTGTCAATCATGTTCCCATACCGGTTTTCATCATTTGTCCATCATTTTCCTGTGATGTTCCTGTCGACTTCTTCCGGACGATGCCGTGTGATGCAACGAGTGCCAGGTGATTTGAAGACGTTGCAAGAGCTCATCTCGAGTGGGCACGTGGTCAATGCAGGCCGTGGTCAGCGTTTGTCAGAGGAAATTGATAATGATTTTGGATGATTTTGGTATCTCCTGAATTTTTATGTAGTCTTTTGGTGGATTGAAAGAGATTGGAATATTTGGTCTTTGGCACCTGGAATCCATCCCATCTCCGATTCATATCAGTCTTGGGCACAACCATTCCAAGCAACGTTCACCGATCGCTCTCAGGCATTTGCACCTTTGGGATATGTTAATACTACATATATATATATAATATATATAATATATATATATATTATATATTATATATATATATGCACGTATATGTTTAGATGTTACATACAGTGATTACATGTAGTAACTCCTTTGCCTACAATTACGCCATTACGCAGTCATCGCTGTCATCAAAAGCCCAAAAAAACAGGAGCGTGTCACATGGAAATCCAAATGGGATCATCTACAACCTCTGAAAAAATCCGGATGGATGGTAAATCCTCTTGTGCACTTCAGATCTATGCCTCTAATGCCTCTACTCTATATATATAATATGTATATATATATACATATAGACATGTAACTACAATATCTATACTGTTATATATATACACATACTGTATATGTATATGTATCATGTATCCATCTGCAACCTTCATTATATAGATGGTCTCCAGGGGCTCTTCTCTTTCAGAGGCGACTATGATCGCCGCACAGCCATCCACATTGCAGCAGCGGAGGGCAATGAGGAGGCCGTGCTACAAGGGAAGGATGGAATGCGGTGAAAACATGAAAAAACCAAGAGATATGGGGCACAGATATGGTAATGGATCACAATGGGGCACTGAACCAACAACTATGGGGGTATAAAACATTATAAAACCACCCACATTGTGGATATAATCACAATGGGGATGTAATGGGATAGAGGACATGTGTATATATGATATTATATATTATCTATGTGCACAAAATGACGGGATAGACTCCAAGTAAGCAGGAACATGATGCAAGCAAGCAACCTTTGGATTTTGGTATACCAAGTTCTTTTCGAGATAGCTGAACGTCCCTAGGGTTTCTGAGATGTTTTGGGAATTTTGCTCGAAGCCCACAACTTCCCCTTACATGATTTGTCCAAATTTCAGATCCCAACATGACGACTTTTCTGGCATTTTTTTGGATATGAACTATAGGTGTGCTGGTTCTGACCCACGGCCATGCAGGTGTGGGATGTTATTAGGATTTGTTGTGCTAATCATTGCTAATCAATATGAACCATTGAGATAAGATGACATGGAGAGATCATGGGATATACCATACGTCTGCTAGCGATCATGGGGATATGATATATATATAATCAAGAAGTGATGATGAAATAGGTATGATCCCAAAAACTGTATATTTGGATACAGGTTTTAGCTCTTGTTTCGCATCAGGGGACCAGGGGTGGACTAGCCGACTAGCCATTGTTTGTACGACAAAAAGATCTACATACAATTCTGACCCTGACCCTTAGCCACATATACCCTCTGGTAAACAAACATAGCTATTGAAAATTGTCGTTTATAGTTGATTTACCCACTGAAAATGGTGATTCTCTATAGCTATGTTAGTTTACCAGAGGGTACCCACATATGACATATGATATGTTTAATTGACTCATTGACACTATCAGTGAATCAGTGCTTATTTTGACACAAGAAACAGATGAGGATGCACTGGTCGTCAAGATGGATGATTTATGATAACCATTTTGTTCAAAATCGCAAGATGGGGTGAATTAGCCCAGGTAAACTTGTCAGTGACGCATAGAATTCACGGTGGATGTTAGCCTAGATAAAACGTGATTGCACCAAAGATGATCAAAGATGGGGATACAGTCAGCAAGTCAACTGACAAAGACTTTGCTATGAGGACAACAACTGGGTATGGATCAATACCTATTAATACCATTTTTAGGGGGATGAACATCCATTTACCAGCTATTTTGATGTTCACCAGGGGTACAAGGTTTTGACACACTGCCAAATAAGTGTGTAAGCATCAAACATGGGAATGTTAACCACAGAAGCTGCGGGGCAATGGCAAAAACTGATGTGGGAGCCGCGAGTCGTTCCAGCAACTGGCTTGTCATTTCAAAGTGTTTTAGATCTGTGTTACCCTCTGGTAAACTAACATGACTATGGAAAATCACCATTTTTAATGGGAAAAACTCACTATAAATTGCCATTTTCAATAGCTATGTTAAAACTCAACATGTCATAGACCTACTGTACATACAGTAGCTTCGAGCTGCTCAAGACTTAATCTCGAGAGTTGTTTCACCCTGTAGCCTGTGTGGTTGGAGAGGAAAATAGTTGGGATTGCTAGGACGTTGCTTCCTAACTTGTTTTCGAGTTGGTAGCGGAGCTCCTTGGTGCCGTCCAGGTTGAGCGATGCTGCTAACCCTCCTTGCCCTTCAGTGTTTCGTCACTGGGGCCACCGCCATGAATGGGAGTCTCGCCTCCCAGGGGAGTTTCGCCTCTCCTGATGCCCTGGATGATGATGTGATGAATGGGAGTGACGTCTCCCCAATTCGCGACAATGCAACCGTTCCAAAAGTATATGAAAGGCAACTTATGCCTCTGCCGAAGTTGAAGTGGATCAGTGGTCCGGTGCCTCGTCACCGGGTCCACACGATCGTGATGCTGACCGTCACCTTGACGGTGTTGACCACACTTGGAATGATGTGGCAACCAGGTGCAGCGCAGGGCGGTACTGCCCGCCTACCACCGAGGTGGGAACCAGGATCCAACACATCCTTCAGAGCGTGGACTCAGGACTTGATGTTGTGGAGCATCTCGTCAGATGCTGAGCCGCACCAACAGTGCGCCCTGGTCATCTCACAGCTTGGCGGTGCTGCCCGTGAAGTTGCGAGGACCATGTCACCAGCCGAGGTGATGAATGGAGGAGTTGTGAATGGACAACACCTGGATCCTCTTAGCTATCTCATCCACGGCCTCAGTAGCCGCTTCGGACCACTCGATGACGAAGTGCGGTTGCGAAGCGCACAGGATTTGCTATCCTTCAGCAGGAGGACGGGCGAGTCAACCGACACGGTGTTGTCAAGGTTTGACATAGTCAGACAACGTGCCCGTGCCGATGGCGGGGGAGCCACAGTGAGCACCGAGACGGCAGCGCTCATTCTGCTGAGAGCTGTTGGTGCCAATCATACCCAGTTCCAACAGTTGACACAGCCTTTCGGCTATAGGTTGCCATCCACGGAACAGGAATTCCTGCACATGACAAGCGCCATCAGACGGCTTGGACACATAGTGGAAAGCCATCGTGACAACATTGCCTCAACCTTGAGAGGTAATCAGGGGTCGAATCATTACTGGGCAGGTGCGTCCCCCAGTGATGAGACAGGCCCGAACCAAGAAGATGGCCAAGAAGCTGACGGTGCCGATGCAGGTGGAAACTGGTCCTACCTCACGAACCATGGTGAGTCGGACACAGACAGTGCCACATCCAGCGACAACAACTCGCTGATGGACATCTCAGACCTCAATGGAATGTCCTCGTTCCAAGTGGATGAATACCTGTTTGGCAGGTACCAACATGCCAAGAAGAGATGGCGAAGGTTCACTGGCAAGCCTGTTAGAGCACTTCGACGCGTGCTGCGTCGCAAAGGCAAGGGCAAAGGCAGTAAAGGAGGCCTTGGACATGCCTATGTCAACATCAACGAGACGCTGCAGCAAAGTTCCTTCTACAAGGGGAAGGGAAAAGGAGGCAAGAGCAGCGGGAAGGGATTTGGCAGAAGGTTGAACCCGAAAGGCAGAGATGGAGAAGTTCTCAAATGCAGCATCTGCCAATCTCAGTACCACCTCCGTGCAAGATGCCCACAGAGGAGTGACGCCTCCCAGCCAGCAGCAGCGGCCACAAGTTCCGTTGGCCAGATCCACCATACGTCGCAGGCAAACCAAGCGAGCCGTTCGATGTATGTGCACTTTGCCGCCTTTCAGGCCCAGCCTGGAAGTGAACAGTCTTGGAGTCGTATCGGCACTCCAAGAGAAGATGGTGGAAATCAGGAGGGACAGCAGCAAAGCCAAGAAGGAGTGTCGACTCCTAATGCAGCCAATGCGCGACCCGGTGACAGCACTCCTGAGGTGTATCACATGACACCAGACCCTCTGCAGGAGAACGATCCGTGGCGGACATGGATGACAGCTGAACGCCCGCAAGGATCAGCCAGCAACCCAATTCAGCCAGCGCCATCGCACTGGCAAGGTCCAGCTGCATCGACGCTGGACCCCGGAATATCGGTTCCTGCATGGCACGTGCCGGATGTGAGATCCTTTCTCGAAGTCTCAGGACTGTCTACCACCAGACCAATGGTGGGGAGTGGCACTGAGCAAATGATCTTGCCGCCGGTGCCGGCAGCATACACTGCCGCAACTCAGGCCCTGCAGGCAATGGTTGAACCGGCACTTAGTGGAGGAGCAGTTGCATCAGAAGCCGCTGGTCTCTTCACTCAGGTCCATGCTGGGAGACAGGAGCGGCGACGTGAGAGTCGCAGTCACCGTGAACAGCAAGAAGAACAACAAGAGCCTGAACCTCAAGCTGCGCAGACCAGGGAGTCTCGCCCCCGTGGCGATGGAGGCCTGGAGGTGTACCAAGACACCTGCACAATCTGCCTGAACCGGTTTGCGGCAGAGGATCACTGTTGCAGACTGCAGTGTCGACACGTTTTCCACTGTGTCTGCGTGGGTGAGTACCTTCAGCACAACGCACCCATAGGCGAAGGAGACATCCGCCTGGTATGCCCCAACTGCAGGGAAGACACTCAGGTCGATCGTTCGTGGGTGCAGCCGACCTTCAACCTCCATGCGCAGCCCACAGTTGAGGAGCAACTGAATGAAGCCGTCCAGACCCCAGTTCCGTCTGAGGCAAGTGCAGTATCTGCTGAAGAATATGTGACGCCGGACAATATCCGGTCGTATCCATGGTGGCCAATCCCCGAAACAAATCCACCAACACCAGCCGATGCAACTGAGTCCAGCCTTGGGTACCATTCGACTGTCAGGTGCGACGATGGTCAGTTGGGCCTTCTGGTCGACCCAGGCAGCTATGGGAATCTCGCGGGAAGCGGATGGGTTGAGGAGGTGGAAAAGACCCTCCAAAGCCAAGGAAAGACCGCATCACGAGAAACCCGCAGTGCACCCCTTCGCGTCGGTGGTGTCGGCAAGGGAAGCCAAAACTGTCGAGAAGACGTGGTCATTCCGTTGGCCATCCCAAGATCCGACGGGACAGTGAAAGGTGGCACCTATTCTGCCCCGGTCATCGAAGGGTCAAATGCACCAGCCCTATTGGGCCTGAAGTCCTTGACGCAACACAGGGCAGTCCTCGACCTGGTGTCCAACCAGCTACACTTGCTGGGGCCAGGAGAGTCCCGCTTCGAACTAGCAGAAGGGACAGAGACCTTTAATTTGACCCGGGCAGCCACTGGACACCTGCTGTTGCCTTTCCAAGAGTTCTCACGCCTTGCGAGTGGGTCTCAGGGAGTGCGCCATCTGTTCAGTGAGGAAGACATCCATGAGTCAGGGTACATGACCACTGTCAAGACCGAGCAATGCAAACAGGAGCCGACCAACACCCCGGAAGATGCAGACAGAGCGTCAGAGCCTGCTGCAGCAAGTCCGGTCGAGCCCAGCATTGCAGTTGCATCCAATGCACCTGAGGAGAACCAGGAAGGTCAGAGCAGAGAGGCAGATTCCCAAGCGCCGACGTCACCAGCTGACGAACCAGCCCCGGAGGCAGGAGAGACCGTGACGCCAGTCCCTGCCGCTGAGGCCGAAGAAGCCAAGAGCAGCAGTCCGGAAGTGACAGCTGCAAACGAGGCTGTTCCGCCAGTCTCTGCTGAAGCAACAGCCGAGCCCAAGGCAGAGCCCGCAAGCCGTCACACAGGTGACTTCAAGAATCTGACCTTGGACGAGATCGCAGACCGCGAAGGATACCCCGAAGAAAAGGAGCTGACCAGGGATCCAAGTGGGGCTCGCTCACGCCGTGGCAGGCGGCGCCGCCGGAAGAGACGCTGTGAAGCAGAAGAGGAAGAAGACCCGGCGGGGTCGCCAGACGAAGAGGGCCGCGGACGAAGACGAAAACGGTCACCTGTCTCGCCAGGTGCCATTCCAAGGGAGACAAAACGATGGGCCTCCCAAGGGTCCCAGACTAGCCATGAGGAAGGGGTCGAAAGAGCGCCAAGCTCAGCAACTGACCAAACGTCAGCATATGACACTGACCGTGGAAGTGTGGTGCTTACACCACGTCGTGAAGGGCCAATTGACAAATCATATGTGGCGTTGCCTTCGGAGACGATCACACCCAAGAGTGGATCAGCAAGCAGCAGTGCACGCCCTGCTGAAATGGCCAAAGCATGTGAGTCCGTGGCAGCGCAATTGCCCAAGGAGCGCGGTGCAGGTAAGTCAAGCCCACCGCTGCCGCCTCCACCGCGGCGGTTGGTGACGAGGGAAGACGATGGCCAAGAGTATGAGGTGATGAGAGGGGAGCGACTGCCGCCGCCGCCGCCGCGGCCGAAGCGACTCCTCCAGCCACCACCAGAGCCAAAGAATCCGCCAACGGCCAAGACTGGAGCTGCAGGCGCTCGACCCTTGCAGCGCGGAACCGATGCTGAGATCGCGAAAGCTGAAGCACACCTCACAGAGGTGATGGCGAACCCAAGTGCGACTCGCACAGCCAAGCGCAAGGCGCGAAGAGAGGTGCGTCAAGCCAGAGGCGAGCCGCCTCCCAGTTGACTATCCAGCCTGGCCGAAGAAGAGCTGAGGTTGTTGAGCATCAGCAACTTCGATGCTCATGCATGTGCATTTGAAGGAATGGACTGCCGAGTCACCCGTGTGAGGCCTGTGGAACTGACACGGGGAGGGTTCGATTCCATCCTTGAATTCATCAAAACAGACAGGTACGATATGGTGTGGGTTGATCTCGCTCATCCCAAGCGCTTTGTCGGAGCGACAAATCTATCTCGGGTCATGCAGAGGTTGCGTGTCCTGGTGACGGCAAGTCAACGGTATGATGTTCCGCTTGTCATCGCCAGTTCGCACTCTTCAGCATGGGAGCATTCAAGTGTGCAGTCCCTGGTGGACGTCTGTGGTTTGAAGTTGAGCACCCACAGGTGGTGCACCTTCGGACTTAAGACGACGGGTGGGAACCCCAGTGCCGTCGTCCACCGGTGTGCAAGCACCTTTGAGTGGCAGAGCACGCCCTGCCAATGCCCTGCAGATGCTGAACATGTGCATGACTTGGCCCTGCGTGATCCCTGCTGCACTGCCCAGAGACGCCATACATATGAAGCTGAAGCAGCGGCCAATCTCCTGGAGTCCGCATGGATTTGCGAATCCGTGTCTGGGAAGTCAGCCGACTCAACAGTATCAATGGAAGGTACAGTCGTAGGCAGTGACAGCCAGCAGATAGCATGTCAATCCGCGCATCCAGCGCAACACGTAGAGCACAACGCGACGAGTTCCGACTCGTCAAGAGCTCGAGATCCCGCACCAGAATCTTCAGTGTTTAAAAGTTTAACCTTGCCCGCACAGAGCACTGTAAGCAAGACACCACACAATTTTTGCGCTACGTTTTTCCAATGCCGTTGCTGCGAACTGCTTGTTCCAAGTGAGACTGCCTGGTGCAACACCTGTGAAGCACCAGTGGAAAATGAACAAGCTCATCTGATCCAAGTCGGATGCTACCCTACAGAGCAGCGGTTGGCTGCCAAGCAGCGTGCTAAAGATGGCATTTTGCCAAAGAGAAAGAAGAAACAAGTCGAACAACATTTCGACGACTGTGGAGAAGATCTGACACCAATTTGTGACAAGGACCCAAAACTGTCCATGTTCACCGACGGATATTCATCCGATGAAGAAGATAACATTGGACACAAAATCTTATCATCCTGGGTTACACACGGTTTCCAGTGTTCGGAAAGTGACCTGCCTCCATCAACACATCCAGGCATGGTCATTGCGGTCGACTTTGAAGAAGCCTATCCGATCTTGATCAATCGACCATATGGTGTTGAAATCGTTGAATTCTGTGGTGGTCTGGGACTGACCACCCAAATGGCAGTCAAGCGTCAGCTCAGCACAGGCCACAATTTTGAGCTGTTGACTGGCTGTGATCTCACAGACACCAGCACCCAGAGGAAAGTGTTATCGTACCTTTCCATAGCAAAGCCTTTGGTCATCGTGATGGCGCCCAGATGTGATCCCTTCGGCCCACTGGGACGCTGGAACCGAGTGATACATCCAGAAGGATGGGACCACAGCTACCAAGAGTCCGCGCCTCTTGCAGAGTTCTGCGGCCGAGCTGCTCTCCATCAAATCAGTGAAGAAAGACATTTCCTATGTGAACAACCTCAATCATCAACCCTCTTCCAAGAGGAGCCCTGGCCGAGGGTACTGCAACATAAAGGTACTGTCAAAGTTGTTTTCCACCAGTGCCGTGTTAAGCAGTACATCAATGGCCAGTTGTGCAAGAAAGCCACCGAGTTGGTGGCCAGTACACGAACCCTTCTGGAACCTTTTGAGGGCCTAGTCTGTACTGGTGATCACCCGCATGCAGTGCTGACCGGTGGTCAAGCAAGCAAGGCGCAGAAGTGGAGTCGCGACATGTGCGACAGAATAGCCTTCGGCATTCAGCAACTAGCCGCAAGCACAAAAGAGCGCCCAGTGCAAGCAATGCCGTCAGTGGCTGTGGGCGGCGGTGACGAAGCCCAGGAAGATCCAGAACCTGAGGAGGCCGGCAACGAACCCTGGCGTAAGTGCAAGGGGTGCCGGTGGAGACTGCCAAAATATGACCCTCAACACAGCAGAGTTGCAGGTGAATGCAAACATCCAGACACTGAACCAGTGACCTTTGATTGCCCGGCTTGCAAGGCCAGAAAACCACGTGATCATGCCAGCCACACATACGATGACAAGTGCAGGCATGCAGTCACAGCCGCCAGAAAGAAGGTTCCCAAGAGATCAAGGGCAAGAGTGCCAACGTCAGACGAACCAACCTCAGGATTGCGAGCCCGAGGTATGGGAGATGCAGATGAACAAGCTGCAGAAGAACAGCTGGAAGATGCCCCTGAGGCACGACCTGAAGAAGCCGGCGGAGTACGTCCCGCCGTGGAAGCTGCTGCTGAGCCAGCTAGCGCAGAGGGCAACGAGTTGCAGCTGGTTCCTGCCGACAGAGCAGGAAGGGGGCCAGATCAGATCCAACGAGTGCGAAGGTCTTATCGTGAGGGTGAGGCCCAAACGCCAGATCCGTCTGACTGGACCTCATTTGACATCTCTGCCAGCCTGCGAGGCCTGCGATTATCCAATGAGGCGGGTCAGCGCAGGATCATCCGCAAGCTGCATCTACGCTGGTGGCACGCAAGCAGCCACAGAATGATCCAGTTGCTCAAGAGCGCAGGCCTACCGCAGTCCATTCTGGATATTGTGCCAGAAGTGGTGGACACTTGCAGAATCTGCCGGTTGTGGCAGAAGCCATCCAGTGACAACATCGCGGTGAACCGCGTGGTAACCGGATTTAATCTGGAAGTGGAAGGCGATCTGATCTTCATCACACACCAGGGCGCAAGTCCGCCCGTCCTACACCTCGTTGACAGAGGGGTAAGGTGGGGCTTTGCCTGTGTGTTGCACGACAGGACAACTGCATCAATCCTGAATGGCCTGGACCAATGGATATCAGTGTTTGGACCCATGCAAGTCCTGATCTTTGATGGAGAAACTGGACTTGATGACCCAGCAGCAACCCAATATTTCGAACTAAAGGGAATTACGAAAAGGACATCCGCACCTGGCCAGCATGTGCGAATATGTGATCGACGAACCCAAGTCCTTCGTGACACGGTTCACAAGATTTCATCCCAGCTGTCTGAGGAAGGAATATCGCTTCCACTCAGCAGAGTGCTGGCAGAAGCAACATATGCAGGCAACGCATTGACATCCATTCGAGGGGTGTCGCCGTACACAGCAGTCTTGGGAAGAGTACCGCCTCTTCTACCGGACGCTTTGTCTGTGACAGATGACACAGAAGCACACGTGACTGCGCAACACACCCATCGATTGCGCGAAATAGCCATCCAATGCATTGCCGAGGCCAGCGCACAAGACCGGCTGAAACGTGCAAGCCACACACTCACCAAACCAGCAGGCGAGGAATTCGAGTACCGCCTAGGTGAGCAAGTGGAATACTACCGTCCACCCATGAGTAAAGACGTCTCAGGTTGGAGGGGGCCGGCCACGATCTGTGACCTGTCTCGTCTGGAGCATGGACGAGTTGGAATCAGGACTCGCAGCGATAATGTGCTTACATGCCGCCTGCAAGATGTCCGCAGATGTCTAGCATACATGGTGGATATGGAGTCACCACTGTCAAGCACAGCAGGTCAAGCGCAGCAGGTACTGCAAGAATTCGTGGATAACATGAAAGCAGGACCTGAAAACACAATGCTTCTTGGCAACATCCCTAGTAACACTGGGTGGCGCATGTCCAAAGTCACAGAGCGACACCAAATGGTGTACCAAGCCGCAGTGGTCGTAGCCGAATTGATTTTTCAGTTGCAGAACCTTGCAGCTGTCAGAATTGGCAAGGGTGTTCGAACCTTGTCGAAGAAGAGTGAATATGCAGCAAGCATGACGGTCTTTTGGACCGCAGCAGGAACAAGATCTTTGGAGTTTCTGAACAGCGAAGACACCAGTGTGTCATTCGTAGCCATGTTAGGTCAGAACTGGACAAATGTTCGCTTTGTTCAATACCTGACCGTCACAGCCGAAGACGATTTTCAGAACTCCATCAAAGAGGATGAAGTGATGAGTGACGTCTCATCCACATCCAACCAAGCGACGGGACCAAGCACACACGACAATGCAAGTGTGGGAGGTCCCTTAAGCACAATCCCCGAAGGAAGTAACGAAGAGGAAGCGCATGTGACAATCCAGGAACTGGAAAAGGCATTCGGAATACCGGCAGATCATCCCAATGTAAATTATCTGGCCGAAGCATTCGTTGCCATATCAGCCGAGGAGGAGGACACTGTGCCGCCAGTGTTCACGACCCTTGAAGAAATCAGTGGCCCGGCTCTGACCAGGAGCCTTAAGGCCATGGAAGAAGTAGCCATCCCCAGTTGGCAAGAAGTCGCGTATGTGACAGAAGATGACAGCTTCCTGAGCAGTAATGCCCTACTCGAGCAGTTGCAGCAAGTTACAAACGAACTGCCCACGCTGGAAGACCAAGATGAGTATGGAGCATATGCTGCCTTGGAGGCGTACTATCCAGAATGCAAATATCTGGAAGGTCTTGACCGACTCCCCAACTGCGATGAGCATGTGGAGCTTCGATTTTACGAAGCGCACACCAGAAAGGTAGTCATCGATCGGAACGATGATCTTCTGACAGAACAGGAAACATTGGAGCACTCAACTGAGGTGCTTCAAGCAATGCTCGATGAACTAAACACTTGGAATGGTTTCCGCTGTTTCAAAAGAATTAAGAAGTCGGAAACAAAATGCATCATTGACACAAAGTGGGTACTGAAATGGAAGCTCAAAGGTGGGGTGCGGCACATACGTGCCCGCCTCTGTCTTCGTGGCTTCAAAGAGTCAGGATGTGACAACGACACCAATCACAGTGCTACAGCATCCAGGTTGTCTCAACGACTGTTGGTGTCGGAAACAGTACTGCGATCGTGGGTGCTCGCATCCACGGACATCCCTAAAGCGTTTCTGCAGGGAGTTTCGTATCAGGAGTTGGCGGACACCACCAACAAGCCACTGCGTGACGTCAGCTTCACGCTGAACATCCAGGGAACAACGTGTCTCAGGCAGATTAAAGGATTCGAGGATTTTGATCCACGGTCCGAAGTGCTACATTGCTTAAAGCCTGGCACGGGGTGCCGCGATGCACCTCGGTGCTTCTCAATGCAGTTGCGGAAAGTAACAGCAGCCTTCGGTCTGAGGAGTTCGTTCTTGGACCCAGAGTTTGAGCTGTTGTACGATGAAGGTGGAACGCTGCAGTTAGTGGTGATCAAGCACGTGGATGACCTGAAGATCGCGGGCCCAAAAGAACTGATTGCAAGGTTTGTGGACCATGTGGCAAGAGCTTTTGGAAAATTGGTCATTGAGTACAACACGTTTACCTTTTGCGGTGTTCGACACACGCAAGAAAAGGACATCGTGTTGGATCAAGCAAAGTTCATTGCAGCCATCAAGGAAATGGCTGTCCCGGAAGCATATGCCAAGACGGATGAGCCACTGCCAGAACACCTGCAGAAGCAATTTCTGAGTCTGCTCATGACAGTGGCATACGCATTGCTGACGAGAATGGATGCTGCAGTGTATGTAACAGCCCTGCAGCGAGAATGCCAAAAGCCGAAGCCAATTCACGTGAGACGGTTGAACCTGCTTCTGCGTTGGATGCAGAAGAACCCTCGTGGACTGCGGTATCGCCCAATGGGTAGGTATCCTGATAGCCTGGTGCAGTTCAGCGACTCAGGGTTCAAGGCGCGTTCCGAAGATGGACTGAGTGTCAGAGGGCTTGTCTCCATGCGGATGCATTCCAGTGAGTTGAAGTCGCCAACAAAGGCGACTTGCCATGTACTGGAATTTGTGTCCAAAGCACAAAGACATGTCACTCGCTCAACCTTCAGCAGCGAACTCTTTGCTGCTACAGATGCCATCGACATGGGACTGCTCACAAGACTGGCTCTGCATGAACTCCAGTATGGACCCATGAACGACAACTTGGCAAAAGGAATCCTCGAGGGATTCACCAAAAGTGAGATCCAGTTGCATGCGGTCCTGGACGCAAAGTCAGTGACGTCAGCAGTCACCGCGCCAATTCTGAAAACACCAGCTGAGCCAGCACTGCTTGTCCATGTGAGATGGGTAAGACATCTGCTGCAGTCGAAGGTCCTTCAAGGACTGCACTGGACAGACACAAGGTCCATGATTGCAGACGGACTAACCAAAGGCAGTATCGATCGATCAGCGCTGGAAGCCGTGATGTCTGGCTGGTTAGAGATCGAATATGCCTTAGAGAACGAGGCACTGCAGTTGTTAAGTCAACCGACCTAAGCCCCTTTTGACACAATGGTCAGTGGTGCCGCCCACTGATCATCCAAAGTAGGAAAATTCCAGAGCTACGAGCCTGGAATAGCAGAGTAGGAGTACGGTTCACCAGGTTTGTGGCATGAGGCTGAAGCTAGAATCCCGTTCACCAAAGGTGGAACGCTGGGAAGCCAGCCGACTCAACATGTCATAGACCTACTGTACATACCGTAGCTTCGAGCTGCTCAAGACTTAATCTCGAGAGTTGTTTCACCCTGTAGCCTGTGTGGTTGGAGAGGAAAATATTTGGGATTGCTAGGACGTTGCTTCCTAACTTGTTTTCGAGTTTAAATTACCAGAGGGTACAACATTCCCCAAAAACTCCAAAAGTTGTAACTGTTTGAAACCATGTATGTGTTTTGTTTTCACCATCCGCAAAATCAGAAAAAAATCAATGACTTGCCATTGGTTGAGACGAATGACTCAAACCAACCAGATTTGCTCATGTTCATGGGCCACATCCGACAAAATTTGCCATTGGTTGAAACAAAATCATCATTGGGTCCCAATACGTACATGTATGTTGTACCATTTTTCCAAATATTATAACTTATGACATATAATTATATAATTAATTATGTACATATAATTCTATAAATGCAATTTTCATGAATTTTCCTGTTTGTAAGTTATATCAAGTTATATCTGCATGATGTTCCATCATTCAATGACTGCGAACGATGGTGCTATGCGGAAGTCCTCAGTCAGGTGGTCGCTTTCTTGTTGTCCAAGCGAGCTGCCTGGGCCTCGGAGTACTCGGAGTCCTCGGAATGTTAACGACAACAAGAGCTGTCATTATTACTAGGGGAGTTACATATATTTATATATCTAGTAGTATATGTAAATTCTAGCAGTATATGTAAATTCTAGTAATATATGTAAATTATATATTCTATTATTTTAATTGCTAGTATAATGTTACTATTTATATCTATTACAAATTTTATTAGTATATAATTACTGTGAAAGTATATATATATATATGTAATATATTCTCATTATGTACGATCATTATCTCTTTAGTATGATCATCTCTTCTTATATGCGTCCACTATGATACACTATGTATGAAATTGTAAAACAAACGCTTTACCGGACAATGTCTCCAAGAACTAACTGTTTGGCAAAACACACAACATTAGTCCTGTACGAATATATCGTGATATGGCGTGTTGATTCCCAATCTTTATGCCAAACCTCGGCACATAGCATCATCCAGCTTAGTTTTGGTGTGAAAACAAGGTTGCATGGGTGCCACCCTCTACACCTAGATCTGCAGACTTGTACATCATCAGCATTGTTATACCTGGTAGAAAAAAACATGGTTCCCTTTACCCTTCAGTATATTAGCATCAATGTCACAAATCCACGATTTGCACATAACTTTCTTGGGAAACCATGGATTCTCCATATCTATGTGAGTTTACCCAAGGGTATATCCCCATTTGTCAGGCATTCCCATCTTTTTTCCGGCACAATGAGCCAGGATTCACAAGCAAAAGATCGTCACTGATTTTGCACATTCAGCGCTGTCTCCTGCGGCAAACTGGGCCTATTACCCTCTGGCAATTTAACAGTTTGCTATGGAACATGACCCGTTTATAGATGATTTTCCTCTTACAGTACATAACAATATTGAAAAAGGGTGATGTTCCATAGCCATGCTACGTAACCAGAGGGTAAGCCAAGCAAAGTGTCGAGCTTGTGTGTAATGGATCTATTCATTGGGCTTAAACAAGACGGGCATTTAACCAACAAACATGGGGATATATAAAGACACCCATAGTGAGGATACAACGGGATAAATGTTATAATTATGTATATTTTTTATAATTACTTTGTATTACATATTATTACATATGTTATTACATATAGAATAGCTCTATATATATAATTATACAGATATGTGTACAGTATGGGTTAAATACATATGCCAAAGACCGATTCCTGGGTGTCAAATTCATCATCCACTTATTAGTTTCATTATCTAAGCATCTAATTTACTAATAGTTTAATAGACCACTAGTGAACTATTAGTGAACACCAATAAATCTATGAATTCACTAATTTACTAGTAGACCATTATCATTCATCATTTCGTGAACTAGGACACTATACTATAGATAGATCAACCATGTGCTTTTCCGAAGTCTTGATACCATTCATAACCTCATCGTATTCATTGGTTAGCCATGAAGTATGAGTTGTCCCATTATTTTATCACCCAACAGTTAAGAATAATTAGTTTAGATATCATAACTATATATATATATATCTATCAAACTAATTTATTAGTTTACCATTATCCAGTATGATACGAAGTAAAATAATAGGATATCCAACTATTTAGATATCATAAACCAGAAGCAAATCCAACTAATTATTCATCCAATAGATAATAACACATTTGGATAAGTATATCTGACTATATAATTATTAGTTTCAGAAACCATTATCCAGTTCAATAGTTATTCATAAATTTAGATATTATAAGTATACCTGACTATATGATTCTTAGTTTCAGAAACCATTATCCAATCCAATTCATAAATTTAGATATCATAAGTATATCCAATTAGATATCAATGGTTCAAGACTTGTTTAAGAAGTAGAAGCATTCATCACTCGTCCAAGGCTGGGGACATACAGCCCTGGACGAAGCAACACGTGGAGGTCATACAAAGGTGCCAGAGCCGGGCCAGGGCGGCCGCGGGATGCCCATGATGTTTTTCATTGGATACATGATGTGTTTGTTGATGTTTTTTTGGTAAGATGTATTGGGGAACCACCCTAAACTGGTCGATGTTTGCAGCTTAAATCAGATATTGACAGGTGATTTGTGGTATACACAACCCGCCAGATCAACCAGAAACCAAGAAACTCGCCATCAGAACACCAAGCCGCGAAAAAATCCACACTTTGTTTGCTTTGAAGTTGTAATAACGTCTCCATCCATAAGATAACAGGCGAGAGAAACAGCCTATTAGGAGAACAAGGAGAACGTGTGTGGAATCTTCCATGACTCACGATATGTTATGCTCAAGTCAGTAATAAACAATACATATTATATATATATATATCGGATTACATGAATGATATACATGCAACGAGTTCTACCATTTGTCTTTAAATCAACTCAAACAACTACCGTTTGTAGCTTTTGGTGTAACATCTTTTGAGTCATCAGCTTGTCGACCCGCACCGAAGGTTGTGCACCTCATTCAAAAAGAGATCCCCACGAAGATCAGAAGTGCTGGATTTTCCAGAGAGACGTGGGAGACTCAGCAAAAGCAGTTGACCCCTGCTGGTTGATGTAGTTTGATTGGTTTTTCAGGGGATTATATAATTAAAATGCAGCCTTTATATATTGGGGATTATCATAATCCCGTTCTGAAAACAAAGAGACGTAAGAAAATGTTAGTGGGTTTGGAACACTGCTCAAGTAGGTAGTAGCTCAAATGTTCGTTTTTTTTGAACATGATTGTTAAACTAAAACAAATAAAACCATTTTGTGAGCACATTGGTGGCGCCGTTTTTGAGCCATACCAAGTTTTTATGGCAGACATGTGTTTGTTTGATATTTGCGGCCTTTGGTGCGTTGTTCACTGGCAGCAACAGCAGTGTTTGATGGGGGGGTTCCGGGTGATATAGTACTCCTGTTGATTCAATTTCCACTGATAGGTTTGCCCGCCTTTGGCCTCAGTATTTAGATGGGCAATCGTTGGGGATTCTTGTGGGGTCCGTTGGGACCCCATTTAGGCAATGGGTTGTTTTTTGTTTAATGATGACATCCCTTTTCGATGCGAACTTGACATTGTCAAATCACATACCATCCAGTTTTTTTTAGCTCATGATGTTCCAAACCGGATGCATTTCTCCATTGACTTCCCCCATGGAAGTTTTTCACAGGTCGGATATGGAGCAAGCGGCCATGCTTTGCTCGGGAGTCAGGGCAGCTCAGACTCGGAGGTGCTCAGAAGATCTCAAAAGACATGGATTTGTTTGGCTTTTGGAAGACATATCTAGGTACCCTAGGACCCTAGGGTAAACTAACGTAAAAATGGAAAACCCGGTGGTTTTTCTGGGAAAATTGTCTACAAGTGGATACAAATGGTGGATCTTCTACATCACTGTTAGTATATCCTGGGGTAAATTATTACGACCTCACTGTGACCTCACTGGAATTATGATTAATACTGGTTAATACTGGTTAATACTGGTTAATACTGGTTAGTAAAGGAAATCATCCTCTTCATCTGGGCGGGGGTCAGGCCGCACGGAGACGACGGGAGGCCTTTTTTATTCAGGTGAAATATGATGATTTATCCAGATATTTCTGGGGTTTTCTTAAAATAATATTATGGTAGGGCCATATATTACCCCAAATATATGATTATGATTTTCCCAGTCATTATGAAATATGATGATATTTCTGGGGGTTTCTTAAAATAGGGGATCCCAAGTCACCATGGTTGTTTCAATACTAAGTCATGGTCGTTTCATGACTTGGATGGGGATACCCCCCATGACCTTGGACACCTCTTTTTATGCCATAGTTCAGCCAATGTGACCAGATCTATTTTTTAATCATTTAGTATTTTAAAACATCTAAAAACCAACATTTTGATCGATATGGAACCTCATTTTTTCATAACCCCCCTGTGTTCGGTCCCTCTGAGGCGGCGACTGGCAACCTTTCCCAGATCCAGCACTTTGGATCGTGAATTCTTATTGACGTATAGATTGGATATAGTGACCCACACAAAAAATTGAAGTGACTGATATCCTAGTGGCAGATTATAATCTTTTGGAACTTGTTTTTTCACTTTTGGGGCTTCAAATTTCATGAGTCATCCGTTTTTGGGATGGGATGCTGATGAATTGGGAACCTAACATCATAGAAACTTGGCATTCCATGAAACATGGCATGGATGCAACGGGTTTTTGTGTCAGGTGACCCTCAGGTGACTCAGGTGACCCATGTATCAGGTATCACCAGGTTTCTGTTGAAAAGCAGTGAATTCTTCTAGAATCTGGCTGTTAATACTGGTTACCCTCTGGTGAACATACAAAAAGCTATTGAAAATGGCCATTTATAGTGGATTTTCCCATTGAAAATGGTGATTTTCCATTGCTATGTTAGTTCACCAGAGGGTAATACTGGTTAATACTAGAATACTGGGTAGAATTGTTTTGCGGACCTGACTGGATGCTTCTTGATCTCATCCAGGCATCAACTGACAGATTAGGATGTCAGATCCTAGGCTGTCACCATTGATATCCCAATTGAACAATGGTGTATCCCGACAATAATGGTTATATATGGTTATATGATTATAAGATATGTCCCTTTCTACAATTGATGTATGGTTATATGTTTTTATATACTATTGATATATGGTTATATGATGTTATATCCTGTTATAGAATACCTTCCATAATCAATAGTTGTTCAAATGCTTGCCTAAACTGGGCCTAAACCTGCTGCCAAGATCCTCAAGGGGGATGGTATGGGGGTGGTTCATACTTCTCTGGTGTCACGTCCGAAAAAAGAAAATCCCCACCCGTTGCTGATGATCGACCCACACCGTGCTAGGTGTAGTATTGTACTGGCAACATTATATTCTAGATATGATATAAGATATATAGAATTGTAGATCTATAATTTATGTATTTAACATATGTATTTATATATATATATATATTATACATTAACTAAAAAACATGTATATATATAGATAGATTGCACGTTGGTTGTTTTATGTTCATCCTTACCTCGATGGTCAAGCCAATAGTTGATTCATACTTTGAGCAAATTGTTGGTTGCTATGGCGAGGTCGTCCTCATTTCCTTTGGTCAACCTTCCCATTTTTCAAACGGTCAATCTCCCCTTTCAAGACCCAGTTGAGAGGACCAGCCAGAGTATTGATGCTTACTTTGCCATTTTGGTCGTGGTTGATCCCTCTATGTTGGAAAAATCCACAGAAGTGCATGTCCATTTTTTCACCGGCCGAAACCACCAATCGGATGTTTGAAAAAAACACTGCAAAATTCTGGAAAACTTAAATATCACAGGTATTTAGATGTATTTAGCCAACCTGCCAAAGATGCAGCCCGCAAGACAAACTGACTAAGAAGCCCATATGAACGTGGCTGGTGGTGGTTAATAAAACCCTAAGGCCCTGTCTTATGATTGGTGATTCGAGGGATCACCGATCCCGGGAATGGTCCCTAAATCCTAGGGTGTTTACTGGTATGATTACAATTCATTATATATATATATTTATATACGTATATTATATATATAATATGATTCGCTGTTAGTAGAGCAATAGGATCTACCATCCCTAATTTTACCATTCTTATGGTCGGAATAAACAACATCACTCCATTTTTTTGAGGTTCTTTTTGTTGATGCTTTCCTAAGATTCCAGCATTCTTAAAACGTTTCCACCACAGCCGACGGCTCGGCCTCCTAGGACTTTGCTGGATGCCCGAGCCAGCCCTTCCTCGGCAGATTATGATGGTCGAACTGCGCTCCACGTAGCCTGCAGTCACAAAAATGCAGAGGTGGGGCGGTGGGAAATCAACCAGGGCCCGTGGGTCGGTGCCCCCAAGATAAATTGGTGAACATCACCTAGTTCTATGCTTTATGATATATCGAAGTAGTTTTCATGGGCTTCACAAACCAGCTTACAACTGGGGTACTTGTACCAGAATTTTTATAGCAAACTATTGAGCTATCACTTTTTCGAACTGTTTTTTGGGAGGGTAACCTCCAAAATTATCGGAGACATTTGGACCGATAGTCCCAGGAGGGGAAAAATGGCCCAGTTGTAGATTATTTACCTATTAGATCCTATTAGGGCAGTGGTTTTCATAGCTATGTTGAATTACAAAAAAAACATATGGGTATGGGTCAAAATTAGGTACCCCAATAATTGGATGGTGAATACTCAACTAGACATTCACATCTGTGGTCCCAAAATGGTCTTCCATTTTGACCCACATCCATATCCTCTACAGTTCAATAGTTTTGCTGATGTTTTTGTGACTCTGGACCATCCTGGACTCCAGCTTTCTGCGCCCAGAGTTTTGCGCCAGATTTGGGGTTGACATTGATGATGTCCATTTTCCAGACTGGTAGATAGACCATACCAAAATTTATAGCTATATAGGTTTAAAAGCCATGTTATAAGTTGAATGTTTGTTCCAGACTAGTTATAATTATATAATATGGGACCCCCAAAGTTGAATGATCCGTGAATATGTGGGTCCCAACACTTTGACGCCGGACGCCTACGACGGGTCGTTCCAGAGGGACGCCAGCGTCCCTTTGTTGACTTCGTCCGCGCAGGTGGTGAAGTTGCTGTTGGCTGCTAAGGCCGGGACATGCCATGCTGGGAGTTTTTCTCAAAGCTGAGTGACTTCGGAAATATATATATATATACTATGTACACATAATTATTGAATATATGAGGGTTTCCTGAAATGGGGGTACCTCCAAATCATCGATATATTTTAAAGACATTTCCAATATAGACGATCCATTTGGCCATTTATGGAAACCTCCATATATACACACAGTGACCATGTAGAGCCATAGTTTCCATAGTTTTTGTATGCTTTTGTGTCCATTTGCTGGCCTCGAATGCCAGGCCTCCTACAATGCTCATGACGCTTTTGGGCGAACTCCTGTTGATGAGGCCATGCCAGGGATGATATTACCTAGAACCCAGGAACCACGATGAATGGTGGCCTCCACCAACCATTCTTGTGGCATCTAGCATGATGATAATGGTTAATGATTTCTGCTTGCGGCAAATAACACCCTCAGGCCGTAGACAGCCGGACATCAACTTCCCCGCTTCCGCCAACATTCCCTGATTGTTTCGAATGGTTCGTGCAACTGACTCACGGGTGTCATAATTCGAGGCCAATCTCTGCCGTTTCTGGTAACCCAACGACTTCATTCTGCAGAAAAGCACCATTTTGGCTGCTGAAACCCTCATGTTTGCCGTTCAAAGCCCTCATGTTTGCTGCTTAGACACTATGTTGTTCCGGTTTAGACACCACGTTTGCTTGCTGTCAATAAAATCACTGTTTCTCTGTTTCACATCCAATGTTTGTTCGTTGAATCACCAATTTTGCAGGTGGTATCCACTGACGGTCCCCACTTTTCTGGGACACTCAGTGACTCCATCCACGAAAGAAATTGCTAGGCCCTCCACCACCATGATCCCTCAGAAGCTGAGCAAAAGCCGCGGGGGGGTGGTGCGTGGTGTAGGATGATGAATGGAAGATGTGCATCTGCAATATATACATATATATACATTCATACGTGTATATACATATATATATATATATATATGTAAATATATATATATATATACACGTACATAGTATCAATTAATACGTATCATAATGAATTGTAGTGATTATATAATATTATAATATATATATATATGATACAGTAGTGAGTGACATCCCAAAACATATAGAAAAAACACTTTACGATTATCTTAGTAGGAATTTACATTTTCTATATTTGATGGGGTTGTTAGGTTGTTGTATAAATCTTATGACATAAGGCAGGGATATTCTGGGGGTAGTCTTGGGACTTGTTGCGAGGATTTTACTGTTTACTGTAGACACTCTTATTGGGGAGCTCGAATGATTCTCCTACGGCTGTTTGGTGGTTAGCTCCGGTATCCCGAGAAAGAGGAAAGTACATAAACTGAGTGAGCTGCCAGATTCCAACATTCAGTTCAGACAAGGTGACCTAATGGCGGAGACTCCCTGCGTTAGAAGGTACTGTCTTCAAGCGAAAGGACTAGTAGAGAACTGAGGCAGTCGAACCTTGAATTCTGGACTCAGAGTTTGTAGTTTCAGAGATTGATTAAGTATAGGATTGTTCTCTTTAACAATGGTGTTCAGCCCACCAGCAACTTCTTTATCTTTATGGGTTTATTCTGCAATCTTCGTGTTTCGCTAGCATCGAACCCCCAAGAAGAGAAGCATTGGCCCAGGGCCCAAAGTTAGGAATTTTAAGGATGGGTTGACCAACGTACCCATTGTAATTATGATACAGGCGAAGGTCAGTCCTGAAAGGATAGCCTTTTCTGCGATGAATAAGACTTGATACAACAGGCTGAAGGTGAAACAAGACGATTTGAGATCCTACGGGACTGCACAACATGTTCGAAGCGTTCTCAAACTTATATAAGTTTTTTGATCTGTGATGAAAGCCAAACCTACTGCATGCTATTTTATTCTGCAAGGAAACTCGGGGAGTTCAGTGTTTGATTTTTCAGCTACAGATGCAGCCATGTTTTTTGCTGGTTTGATTCATAGCTGTGTTGTTCATCAACAAAACTCAAACAAACAGGACTAGAACATACTAGAAGATTAGAAGCTCAAACAATAGCCTCATTTCAGTTTCTTTGAGCCAACAGTCATCAGACTGAATCAGTAGATATCAGTAGTGTTATATATCCTCCAAGTTCATTGCTGTTTCAGCTCCACGCCGAGGTTTTGAAGGAACTCTTTCAAGCGGGAGCCAATGTCTTGGATAATGATGGCACCGCAAGTCATGACGTGCAGGTGGCCGAGGGCCGAGGATTTTTTCGTCGTTTTCATGTTTTGGAAGATGGCCATTTCTTTTTGGTGATTTGTTGTTTGGAGTTTTGAACGAATCAATGTATTCTGATTTGACATTCTTGGTGGTCAAACCACAGGATCAATGAACGTCACAATCAGGGTAAATGGTACAATTGCCGATTTCTGTACAGTAATTACAATTTTTCTTCCCGGACAATCCCAAGCAGGATTTATTTCGGCGTGGACCCCCAAAAAAGTAAGACATTCTGGGAATCGGGTGTGTGCTGAATTTTCGAGCCATCTCCGGCGGGATGCTTTTTCTTCGCCTTATGACTGTTGACAAACATTAAGAAAGCACCAGACGGGCTCTAGAAGGTGCGGAAAGCAATGTCTGCAAGGACTCAACAATTCAGGCCTCATAGGGGAAACACACACCCTTGCGAAACCTCTAATACATGGACCACAGGATGACTTGAGTTCATGAGTGCTGTCCCCAATTGTTCTACAGTAACTCCATCCCATTCCTAAAATCAAAAAACATGTATAGAATACGTAGCTATGGAAAATGGCTTGTGTGTAGATTATTTACCTACGTATATATAATATATTATAATATTATATAATCAAAAATGGTTGTTTGCCATACAATGAGCAGAGGGTATTTGGAAAACTCCCTATCCACACATGACATGTTCATGGAAGTCTCAGAGGAATCCCCTGCTACACCCCCGCTGTAGCAAAGTTGGTGAATGAGTAGTTCGGGGGATTATACATGATTATACTGGTAAACCCTAAACTCTATAACCCATAGGATCCATGTATGCTATATATGGTAACATTTACCATCAATCATCAATATACCCCCAATGTTAGCATATATACCATACATGGATCCTATGGGTAATATAGCCAATTTACAGTCCATGAACTGGAGAATCCGTTCTTAACCACAGCTGCAGGTCTTGAAAACCATGGCAGCCACCGAGCACTGGCTTATCCCCTCAGGGGAGGCCATAGAGGGAGGGCCCAGGCTTTGGTTATGGATGTTCGTTCACCCAAATATCATCAGATATACGGTTTCATGGGGGTTTCCATAAATGGTACCCCAATAGCTGGATGGTTTGGAAAATCCATCTATAAATGGATGAATCCATCTATAAAAATCCATCTATAAATGGAAAATCCATCTACAAATGGATGATTTGGGGGTACCCCTATTTTAGGAAACCACCAAATAGGAAAAACCACTGGGGGAATCCGAGGTGATGGAAGAAAACCCTTCCCCCATTGAACTGAACTGGAAGAAAAGGTGAGCTGCAAGTGGAGGTCACTCTAACTTGAAGATGAATATATGATGAATATATGATGAATATATGATGAATATATGATGAATATATGATGAATATATGATGAATATATGATGAATATGTGGCATATGGTGGTTTCCATGTGCCACCGCCAACTGGATGTCCGTTGGCAGGCGGTCCCTGAATGAATTATGTAAAAGCCAAAAATGCAAGTGGCTAAGAAGCGCATCCATATCAGAAGTGTAGAAGGGTTTTGCTCCCTGAATATTTGCAAAAACAAAATTCTTCTGTTCGAAGTTTCTGAAAAATCATTTGAAGCCACAAAAGAATCATATGTGCAAAGTCGCTTTATCAAAAACTCCAAGTTGGTTTCATGACGCCCCGACTTCTGCTGTGGTTTCCTATTGACCCCCCGTTTTTCCAGGTAAAGTTCGACAAATGTTTGTCGACAACGATCAAGAGTGCAGTCTACGTTGCTACATGGCGAGGGCTCAAGGCAAGGCCGTTTCCATACATTTCCTGAAGCTGAAGGAGTTTTATTTCTCTGAAACAGCATTGAGTTATATGTATATATAATATTATACATATATATAATTTGATTTATATATGTGTATATATATATATATGCATATACATATATATGCACATATGAAAGCGGTGTTTTTCTTTTGCTCCGTTAAGCAAATCCCCGTACTGTATGTGCTTGTTTAAAATCCATGTGTCACGGCTGTGGTTATTTAAGTTAGCATTGACCCCGAAATTAGCGGCGTACAACATGCTGATATACCTGGTTACGGCTGAAATATTAGAGATATTTGACCAAAATGGGGGATGGAATACTATAATTATATTATTATATATAGATATATGTATACCATTGTATACCGTATACCGCACGGCTGACCAAATTTGTATATTCGTTGCCGCTCCATTTGAGCCTTCATATTCGATCAGGAAAAAAAGTATCGGTTGCATCATAAGGGGGTGGACATCCAGCGGCTACCTGCTATCAGAATATTTCAATTGTTAAATTTATTATTAATGGTTTAACCTGAAGATCTTAAGTGATATATTGGTAATCTATTTAGACTATTGGTATTGTATATTAATATCTAGCCAGAATCTCCCAGTGGTCAATAGGCACAGGTCTTTGGTGGTTTTAACCTTCAAGACTGGGATGTAACAATCAATCCCAACCAGTAGCTTAATGGCTGGCCATTCCTCATGTTTACCATACGGACATTTCTTTGTAAACGTCATATCCACAATGTTGCTGGCTGTTGACTTTCAAACTTGTTATCTAGGGATGTTTAGGGAAAACTTGCTTAAAGGAACACTTATTTAAGGGAAAATTCACAAACACAGGAAATCCGAAAAAATATTTGGGTGTAGAAGAACCGGGTTTCCTGTAAATGTTCCCTTAAACCAATCCATTGCTCGTCAGTGCCATGATGTCCGACGATGTTCCCATGATCAACTGGGCCTAATTTTGAGCCGACCAGGTGGTGGCCAAAACGGTGAAAGATGTGAAGTCAAGGGCCCTGATGGGGCGCCGGGAAGGGCCGGGCAAGGCTGTGTGTTAAAATCTGGCATCAAGTATAGCTGTAGTATAGCTGGTAAATGCTAGAGTGCTAGAATAGGCTCTGTTTAATATACTCTCTGGTAAACTAACATAACTATGGAAAATCACCATTTTTAATGGGAAAATCCACTATAAATGGCCATTTTCAATAGCTACGTTAAATTACCAGAGGGTAGTCTTATCGAGTTTTTCCTGGTGTCCATCGGCTGGAATTTCCAGCAGCCTTCAAAATGAAACACATTTCCAGATGTGCCATTTTTTGAAACATCGGGAGTTGACTGACAATCATGGGCTATAGCCAAGTTATTTCTTTCCAAGTCTTTCCTGGGAAAAAATATAACGACCTCACTGTCACTGACCGAGCTCACTGTAAAATAACTCCTTTTTGGGAGTCCCCTAAAATGACGAGTCTCTCTACTTCGGGAATGTGGTTTCTTGGAGATCACCGGATGTCTTGTTGATTTGGATTCACCATAGACCTGAGTTTTTGGGCCCCGTGTCATCCATTGGTTTCCCCTGTCCATTTGCAACACCAAGGAACTCCAGACTAAGTCTGCAGAATATGCAGAACAAGGTCGACGATTCTACGGTCTCTCGGCTTTCCGAGCCTTTCATCCAGAGCTTTGTGACTGAATGGACCAGTTCACACAGTTGTTTGGAAGACGATGATTAGATATGAAAAAAGGCATTCCAAAAAAATTGGCATCAATTCCCCGAATCCCGGACCCACATTCGAATACGCCGAACTAGAACCAAGCGGATCTATACAAGCTTTGTTGGTCTAAGGCCTTTCCAAGTTGGTTGGAGCTGCTCACTACCACTGATTGTCAATATATTTCTGTAATGTGTGTTGTTCATGATCCTACTTCCCCTCTATGCCTTGTCCTCAGGACATAGATATCACGTTTGCAAGAGTATATCACGTAATACATGTGTATTCATATCATTTCATATCTATATATATATATCATAATTAATTAATATTACAGTATATATATATATATAGATATTTATGTAAGAATGCAACATACCATTTCGCGTTTTTCAAGACGCCCACTATTGGGTTGTGAAAGGCTACGTCTCGATTCGTGCTGGTTGCTGTGTGTCGTAGGTGCTCGAACAGCAGTTGTCCCAGTTGGTACCTTTGGGATATTTGTTAGTATTACTGGGATAACCTAACTGGGACAAACATAATATTAATTTCCAATAATCCCAGTAATCCCATTGGTTATCAATTATCAATAACCATTATTACTGGGATAACCGTGATAACCGTTATGGGATTACTGGGATAAAAAAAATAATGACCTTTGGTACTATGGGATTACTGGGATAGTTCGGGATAGCCCCAATTTTTTGTTAGGTCCGGGACACGCGGGTTTTTCTGGGACGAATGTATGGTGATTGGCTCAATAAACTCTGGATGGGTTGCTGGATGGGTTGCTGGGGGTTGCTGGGATGATGAAATTGATAGTTATTGATTAGTCAGCCAGTGGGACTCATTCCCGAAAATTCCGTGCGTTTAGCTAAGCACCAGTAAGTCATTCCCCCCAGACTTCCCGGAGGAGTCTCTTGGCTGCACCCCATTTCTGTACCGTTGAATCAGTGGCACGCCGAGGCCGCAGTCGCACGGCACGAGCTCATGCACGAGATGAGGCGACACGGGCGAGACGTGGCGAAGTGACCAGTTGACCGCAATGTTGATTGGCTATTGTTGGACCGCAAACTACCCAATAAATATAGATATGAATATAATTGAATATATATATATATACATATTATACTTATGAACACACACACACACTAGACAAGAATGGATCATTATATGATCCGGCAGGAACTGAATCCTGAAACATGCAAACCAGCCTAGATTATTAGATGAATAAAAGAGCCACATGAGGTACTTCTCGCAAACGATGTAGGGCATCCGAAATTGTCAAACGTAGTCATAACCAGATTCCATAGAGTTTTGACCAGCATGTGGAAATCCAAAATAATGTTTCGGCGATTGTTTCCCAAAATAACCCATAGTTCGTCGGCGACAGGGTCTCGGCGAAAATAAGTCAAAAAACATAATACTGTCGGCGATATGGTTTCGGCGAAAATCTGAGGAAGGTTCTGATGCATGCAATACAGATTGTGGCAACCGTGTAGATTCGAAACAACGCAGTGTAACAGCTTGATCAACAGTTGAAACCAAATTTTGCAGGTACACAGAGTTGATCAGACTCTGCTTCCAGCACAAGTGGATAGCTTCGTTGGGTGCAGTCTCCACTGTGCTCTGCACCCCCCTGCAAATTAGTGAAAACCAATCAGAAGTTTTACATCTGTTCAGATGGTACACACACACACCTCGCATGTAGCGAGGTCGGTTTTTTGGAAGAACTTCGCTGGCGGAATCGGCAAGACACCAGTGAAAGTGAACCTGTAATAACCTAATGTACAAAAGGGGGGTCACTTCAGTCAGAAGAGGAATTCGGAGCTTGTAGAAGGACTTCCATAGCATCGTGGAAGCTCATGCGTTCAACCATCGCCCAAGTCTGATCGAATTCCCCCGATGCCGTAGCAGCCTTCAAGGTGTCAGATAGATCTTTGGCTAATTCATGGATCCGGGTGGTCAGCCTTGGTTCATCTCCAGGAGATGTCGTCTCAATGGGCACATTGTGAAAAGGATGGTGTCCATGTACAAGGGGAATCTCAAAATGATGTCGCCAATAGTCCGCTGTGCGCAGGGACCACTCCCAGTTGCCGGAGAGACCATAGAAATAGTGTTCAGGGTCACGACATCGGGAATGCCCTAACAAAGGAATTTCTTCAATGAATAGCTCCCTGGTGTTGTTGGAGTGGGTAATGACCTTGAATTGGATCTGGTGAACCACGCGAGAAGAGAACTGAGCACGATGGAAGTAGTTGTGTGTAGAACTTGAGTCTGTCGGAAATGGAACGCCAGGAGGTGCTGGTCCTGAATATGTATCAGAATGGGCCAGTGTACCCGTAGCAGGTGCCGTACTGTCAGTTACCAAAGGTGCCGGAGTAGGGTTGGTCGTAGTGTCGGGAGCTCCTGAGTGACATAGTGCAGAAGTCGAGGCGTCTGGTACTTGAACTGGGTCGGTAGGAGCGAGTCCACGAGTAGAGTTCGCAGGCCAAGACAAGCCCGCCACGGTCGCGTCTCGTTTGTGTTCCATGGGTGAAACTGTCACAAATACGAGAAATAGTGCAACAACGGCTGAAGCATCAAGAATTGCAGAAGAAAGCCAATCCCGAAATTGATAATATTCACAAAAATGAAAAAAGTGAAATCCAGTCCTCAATCAAGTGGGTCAGTTGCGACGGAGAAGCCACAGCTCCAAGTCAAATAAAATAGAAATCGAAAAATCCTTTGTGTTAGTGGGGTGTCAAGGAGGAATTGAAAACCCTGTAGCATGGTCTTTTTTGGCCGGCTAGTGCATCAGGGCAGGATCACACCGGAGCTAATTTTGTAGCATTTCAAGCGTAGTACGAAAGGCTGTCTGGTACCCGGGATGAGGAAAGAGGATTCGCGGGAATTGTACTGCCGAAGTCGCCACTCAGGTCGGTATGCCTCCAAAAGCTGCAAGACCGTCATATCATTGGAAACTTGGAATGTATCACCGTCCAAGTCGCAAAAGCGAAACTCCAGGTTCGAGGGATCAATTTGGATGTCCCATTGGGACCTCAATCTTTTGGAGATACAAAAGCGGAGTTCGGCAATTGGGATGAGGCCGGCTTCAACTGGTTCCATCTGACGTGACCAGGTAAACAAAGCTGCAAGTTCAAAGCCACTGACATGTCTAAAATTGGAGTTCACCAGAGCCATGTAGTGTTCACGGTCAGGTTCGCTTCGGTGAGTCAATGCCTGTAAGGGAGAGAAGTCAACCAAGATAAGGACAGGTCTGTTTGGAGGAGGGTTCACATCACCAGGGAGGCCTCGATGTCCAGCAATCCACCCAACGGTTCGTGTACCAAGCGGTGTCTCAATCGTAGATGTGGCGCGATATGGATTGGGTCGAGAAGAACGAGCCATTGCGTCGAATGTGAAGTATCGAGGATAAAGCGCAAAGCCCAAGCTGCAAAATGGGTTGGAATAGCCACAGGAACAAGCACAAAGTGTTAGAAATAAAAGAGAAACGGTGTACCTAGTAAATGGTCACACAAAGAGACGATGAATCACAGGTCTTTTTTCCGCCGACAAAGAATGTGGTATATTACACACTTGAATCCGACATATCCATCGGGTCAATATCGTTCGCATCCAACGGACCATGTACTTGTTGAGGAGGGACAGCGGGGCGAGTGAGATATACAGTACGGTGTAGTGTTGCCGGTGGGGAAGACGGTGGTGTAGACCGCCAAGGTGGCCAATATAAAGAGGTAGTGGTTCCTTGAGAATGGTGTTGGGCGGAGCGTCCCCAGCATGACTGTAAAATATGGAGGTGGTCCGGTATCGCTTCGTACGGCTGTGAGACATGGACGTTGGAGTGTTCAGGGTGTGGTAAGACGGGAACAGTAGTTGCCGTAGGGGAGGAGGATGATGGTTGAATTGGTACATCATAGTATCTGCGCCAATGGTTAGCTGTAGTGCGCAAGGTTGCCTGGTCGTTGGTGAGGTGCATGTTCTCCAGGAATGTTTCCACTGGTTTCCACGTTTCAAGACCATCAAGTGTCCTTTCCACGATCCAAAGTTCATCTGAACGGTTAGACAAAGGATAGCTCAGCTTCTTGATGAAGACGGAGTGGACAGTGGTAGAGGTCGGAATCATTCTCGCTGCACGAGGAATATAGGATGCCGAGGTGGGATCATCCGGTGGCAAGTGTGAGGCAAGGCCATGTATGGATGTAGGTGGTAAACCGTGCGAGACCAATCGAGCAGGATCATCCGTGTTGGAGGTCATCATGTACGATCAAAAGAATATGATAGCGGGAAATACTAAACTGAAGCCAAAAGGCCGTGGGGAAGGTCAATGATGAAGGAATAAATAACGAATATCACCCACTGGAAAACGAGAAAAGGATGACACAAGGGAAAATCAGAACCGGGGTGGTGGACATCACAACGAATGTTGGTCTTTTTCCTCATAGACGTGAGCCGTGTCAAGATCCATCAAGACAGCTAATCACTCAGCGGCTTTAGTGTATCGGGTGGCCGTGACGAATGGATGTCCACGGGGAATCACTTGAACATGTACAGCAAAGCCAGTGTCTTGTGCATCTGGATGTGGTGTCAGCAGCAACGGAGAACACTCGCGGGTCGTGAAGGCATCGAGATGTTGATGAGTTTTCCATCTCGGGTAGAACCAATTCAAAACATCCAGAAGAGAATGAGGAAGGTCGTCAAGCATCTGAGCTCCTTGATCGGTGTCAATCATCATGTAGAACTCCGACGCTGGTAGGTGTATGGACCAGCGTTGTAGCAGTGTGTCGGTGACTACGGTTTTGAGGTCTGAAACGAAATGACTGCGAGCATAGTCCGGGTAGATGACCTTGAACGTCTGGAACAAGCTGTCATAGGTGGCCGTAGGAAGGTTGCCCGCGACATTGGGGGTCAAGATGTTGTAATAAGGGTTGCGTACGGCCAGTTGTTGCATCGGCTTCAGGTCCAACTGGAAAATAACCGGTCGGTGAGGTGTCGGAGGCGAAGACCGGTTGGGTGGGTGCCGGAATGACGTAGAGCCCATAGCGGAAGATGACGTCCTGGTTGGAGAGCGTGAGCGTCGTGTAGGTGAGATCCTCTCGTGGGACATAGCTCGCTGTTGGCAATAGCGGTCCAGGTGAACGCGGAGAGACATAATAAATGGCTGGCGGGTTGTGTGATACGACGTGTCAGAATTCAATGGGACAACAGCGTCCATGGTTCTGAAGATAAACAAGAAGAAAATTCCCAAAATGAAGGCCAACGGGTTGGTGAAACAGTAATACCGTACCGCAACGTACCTTTTCCTTGTGATTCGCATATGTCAATGGTCAGCCAAGTTGGTCTTTGATCTTATTCCACATAGAGCGAACATCTTCTTCAGACTTGCCCATCTTGGTCGAGATCACCTTCCATGAAAATCGAGATTTTTCGTCAACCTTCAGAGTGCGTAGTTTCTGTTTGTCTTCAGAGGTCCAGAGTGATAATGGGCTCGAGGAGCGGGATCGGGATTGGTCACGGCGGCGACGACGCTTGGCAGGAGCCTTTGGAGCAGATTTGGCTTTCTGTTTGCGACTTGGCGGTGATGGTGTTCTAGTAGAAAGCTTCGAAGGTGCAGGTAAAACATCAGGAGGCGGAGCAGCAACATGTTGGTGCGGCTCGGGAAGATGGGTTTCCACCAGTTCATCCATAAGTGTCTCTTCTTCTTCCAGATCCGGCGATGGGATGGGGGCATTGTCAATGAAGGCATTGGTCTGGTCCGAATAGTGTGGTCGTAGGCCATCAGGTTGATTCCATACGTCTGTACTGGGAAGAGGAGTAGGTTCAATGTTGGGAATGAGAGTGGGTGGTAGTAGCGCCATTGCTCGATGTAGTAGAAGGTAAGCATGGTGAACATCATGAAGAAATTGAAGAAACACTGGTTCTTGGATCGGAATTGACGTCGTAGGAGACGAGGAAGCCATGACAATGCGTCGAGTATGGGCCAACAGGTAAATGGAGCCGAGTT